AAGCCTCATAGACACGGAAGCTTTTGTTCTCTATTGAGAGTGCATAAAAACTGTAGTTATCAAAAATAGGAAATAAAAGAGAAAACGTTCAATTCCTTAATAAAGATGTAATAGCTTTCATGTTGTTTCTCTCTGGTGAGATTGTTAGGATGAGTGAGGCATAGAATAGACAGAGAAATAAACGCCCACCCAAAGCACAAAAGGTCATAGCAATTTAATATTTCTGTTGAAAGGGAGAGAAAGTGATCTTCATTGGCATAAATGCAATAATAATCTATTGGGCTAAGTGGAACTCAAAAAACACAGATTGTGAAAAATACATTGCCAGCCTTACTGAAGTGTTCCCTGGAGAAAGGAACATTCATGTTAATTAAAAACACTCAACATGCAATGACATGAATTTGAACAATTTTAATTCAGAATGTCCCTCAAAATTAAAGTGAGTGCTTCCCCTTTGATCTTTGTGTTCCTTGAACAACATGAAGCACAATTCTGAGTCCTCTTCAGGCTGCCCTAGCTAAGGGGACTCAGTTCCATAAGCTCCATAATGCCAATGAAAATAGTAGGACCAGCAACCTGTGAGACTTAATAGTTGCCATATTATTTCTAATTCCAAACCAATTTCTAACTCAAAGTGCTCCATTGTTTATTCTTTTCCATTGGTTAAATAATCAGTCATTTGGAAAGAAGAGGATTAGAATTAAGCTCATTGAAGCAAAAGTCATAAGAGCCTTTAAGAAATAAAATAATGGATGGTTATCATCTCTCCAATTTTGTTGCTAAATAACTTAGAAACACATACAGACGAAACAGTGAGTACACATTCAATTGTGTTTTAAATATACCATAATTCAATCAACTTCCAAATCACATAATAAATATTTCTAATTTTGTTTCATGATATAAAAGCAGTACAAAAATGAGGGTGATTGACACAAATTAGTCATTATTATCTTCTAAATATAGCTTTGGTGCTTGTAACCAACTTCCTCAAATTCATTTTTATATGTTTTGTAGGGACTGTTTTGTAGGAACTGTTTTATATGTTTTGTAGGGACACACACACACACACACAAATATGTTATTTAATAATTATGTCAATTCTAAAATATAAAGTACTTAAAATTTTTTTTCTTATAGAATTTTTCAAATTTAAATATTATTCTCCCTCTTCCATTAGAACACCATTTGCTTTCTTTCATATTCAAGGACTCTTTCTAAAAATAATATATATGTATATACATATATATTATGTATATTCAGCCTTGAAGTCTACAGATACAAGTAACACTGTATATATAAATTGGATGAATTTGTGTATTTTTTAATAATAAAAATTTATTCATGCTAAAAAGTAATAATTTTCCTTGATCCCACCATGAATCCCATTTTTCAGGCAAAATGGCTGTACTAAACTAAACCATAGGGTTATCTATAGAAACAAAATAGCTCATATCTATCTGGAGCAGAAATCCAGGATAACTAACTAGTAGAGTTATTTACTTCTTAGCTTTAATTAACTGCTTAACCTGAGTGTGAACTAGCTATATAAGAGATTCTCAGGCGTAGTTTTCTTACCTTAGCTTCTTCGTTCTTCTCCAGAAGAAGAACCATGTCCCAGGTTCTCATAAAGAAGTGTTTAGAAAATTTTGTCTTCGTGCCTTATCAGAAACAGATTCAGATAGCATACAAATGTGGGAACTATCGATAACTATGATAAGTCCTAAGTTAAGGACAATAATGGAAAAAGAAAACATTAAGTACAAAAATATGTTGGTCATCACTAAAGTGAGGAAAGCAGCTTTAGGAATAGACTCTGTGATAGAAATAGGAAGCAGTGAGTTAACAAGGGAACAGCCGTTAATCCCCAGACTGAGTTGGTGGGGATAGGGCACAGTCAGGAAAGTGCTCACCAGCTAAGCATAAAGATCCAAGTTTGGATCCTTGGCACCCAGATAAAAGCTTGGCATGGTGGGCTGTGCCTGTAAGCCTAGTACGAGGAGTACTGGTGGCTAGCTAATCAGTTTCATTGGGTTAATTCCAATGAAAGAACACTTTAAAAATAATTGTTGGTCAGGGCTGTTCAAGAGACTCCAAAACACATTTCCTACATTTCCTATTGTTACTGTTTTTGGATGCCCCCAAAGGTGAAAGGTATGTCCTCATTACTGAAGCCATACTACACTTTGGACACAGGCCCCAGAGTCCTCAGATCTGCAACTAAGCTGAGCTACTGTGACACTGAAAGGCATTATGAAAACCTCCAGAGGAAAAAACAGACAGACAAAAATTCTGAAGAGCTTTCTAATTGGATTTAAGACCTGCTCATGAAAGTCTCCTACTGGAAACCTACCAACTACCCAGGGCTGGTAAAGCCACGGACCTTGAAGGAGAATCTACAACTACCACACTACTTACCCAGCACAATCCCTATCTAAATCCAAATATTATACATGCAAATAAATGTGATCTTTAACTCTCATCAAGGATATTTTTCTTTGTAACATATAAAGTCCAAAGACCGTTACTGAAAACCACAAATGATCAACATGCGAAATTGTAGGTCACAAACATCTACAACAGCATGACTATTGATAATGACTTTTTTTTTTTTTAGAACATGAAAAGGTGACTGTTTCTCACAGTGGATCATATCAAGACCTTCCTACTTGTTCTAAATTTTATCAAATATTGAAATATACCTGATTAATCTAAACATGTGATCTCATATGGTTTGCATGATTGGCCCACACTGTTTTCATACAGTCACTGACACAATTTCAAATATTTTCATCTCAGTTAATATATTTGCTAAAGACATAATTTCTTCATGTACAGTAAGTTAGATGATTCATACAGTCACAAAATTTGGCCAAGCAATGTCTGATTTGAGGATACCCACACCATATGCTACCTGGATGGTCAGAAATCAGATACAAGACAGTCCAGAGACCTAGGGTAGAACCAAGCAAAACTGGCCATAAGGAAATAAAATAAATAAGTGAAATCACTGGAATGATTTTTTAGGATATTCTGCTGTATTCACAGATCATCACCAGAGAAGCTTCCTTTCAGCAACAGATGAATGTGGGTGCAGGGATCCACAGCCAGAAATTATGTGGAGAGAGTGTTAGTATTTAGAAAACCTGTTCCTGGGTTGCCTAGCAACCTATGATGCTATTATGTGTCACTGGCCAGGTGGCCTCACCTGGAAGGCATGGTTAACTTCCCCCTTAAAGGTTCCAGGCTGCCATGTGTTCCTCTCTTGGTTTCTTCTCTCTTGGCCTCTTGCCTCTTGCTCTCTCTTGCCCTCTCCCCTTTCTATTTCGGGGCACCCCTCTCTTTTTACCCCATCATGTCCTGCTCTCCCTTATCTCTCTCTCTTCATCTCCATCTAATAAACCTTTTTCATATAAAATCTGTTGTGTGCTTAACCTTCATTATTTAATTTGTCCCCAACACAGAGAGAGTTTAAATTGGAGGCCTCCATTGGATCCCACCTCTAAGAGCTCAAGGAACCCAAGGAAGAAAGGGAGTGAAGATATTAGTCAGAGAGATGGATGACACCAGAACATGGCTCACTGAATCAACTAAGCAGGGCTCATGTGGACTCACACAGACTGAGAGTCAAACACTGGGCTTGCATGGGTTGGTACCAAGTCTGTACATATGTTAACTGTTAGCTTTGTGTTTTGGTGAGACTTTTAACAGTGGGATCATGTGTGCCTCTTGCCTACTCCTAGGACTCTTACTTCTACTGGGTTGCCTTGTGCAGCCTCAGTATGAGAGCTTTTGCTTTGCCTTACTTAATTTTGTTTTGTTGTGTTTGGTTGTTGTTTCCTTGTTGTGTTTGGTTGCTCTTTTCTGATGGAAAACAGCAGGGGAGTTAATCTGGGGGAGAGGGGATGTGTGGGGAGCTGAAGAAATAGAGGGAGGGAAAACTGTGGTCAGGATGTATTGTATAAGAGAAGAATCTATTTTTAATAAAATAAGGTAAACCAATGTTTTTAGGCACATAAACTACGAGGAACCATTTTTCTTTTCTTGGTTTTGTTTTTTCACAGAATCAGATGAAAAGCGAATGATGACCTCCCTCCTATGTAACAGAACTGTGAAACCAATACAGAAAGAATATAGTTAGATCAGGGAGGGACAAAAAGGAAGTCCTATGATGTGTTAACATATTTTTATTTACTCATCATCAGTAAATAATGGGATATATTTAATAAGAAAAGTGATGATGAGGCAAAGGAAAGATAGCCAATTATTTTCCCTCTAAATACTTATCAGTTATGGGTCACCTGTGTATATTTCTATTATCATGAGTATGTCTACAATAAACAGCTACAATTTCTATTTTTTGAGATCTCAGTCTGCCTTTTCCCATGTTTATAGTACCCTGCAAAACTTGTGTCCTTAAACCCTGACTAGGAGTGTCAAGAGAATGAACAATGTACACACACATTGACACAGGTACAGAAAAGCTGGGGCCAGGTGGCATGTGCACTCAGATGGAGTGATACCTCCTATGGGCTTCAGCCTGACTTCAGTGTGTTTATTATGTGCAGCACATTGGGAGAGGTTGACCAGTCTCTACAGGAGGTCTCTTTAGGAGGGAAATCTCAAGTTGTAAACAACATTTGGAAGGTAGAAGAAGCTGCAGTCAATAATTTGAGTACACACTGGTCACTGGCTTGCATTCAGACCCCTAAGGAAACCTCTGCAATCCCTATGATCCTGGCATATATGGAAAATGGCTTTCCATTAATGAGAGATGTGGGCTCAAAAATAATTACATACTATTTTGCATACATTATATATTTTTATATCTTTTCTCATATATATGACAAAGGGAAGAAAGAAGGGGCCCATTGTAAACTTATTAGTTGTAGAATTTAATAAAAGCTATATTAACTCTGTGTTTCTATCTTGCTCATTAGTGTTGTTTAATAAAGAACTGTGATCAATCAGTCTATTTAGTTGATAATTATTTTCTCTTCTCAACCTTTATGGGAAAGGTAAGGATACTGTGTCACTTGTGTGTCAGTAGGTGGCTAAGCAGAGAGAGGCCATGCATACACTCAGTGTTCTGGTCTAGGAACATCTGAATGATTAGCAGCTTAACATTCCCTGAAAAAAAGTGAGCCTGAGACGACCACCAGTTCAGCTCCAGGGGGCGCTGACAGGGAGCTAGCCTGAGACAACCACCAACTAGTATCACACAGGCCTGCAGTGGAGCAGAGCATGCCCAAGATGACCATTGCCCAGCACCATAATGCATGGACAGGCATTAGCACACCTGAGACCACTCTTAAGACAACCATGGACACTCAGAGATTCTGCACCAGTAAGAGGAGCAAGTAAGAGGTGAAGAAAGGGAAGAGAATGAGAAACAGAATGATATGGGCATAATGAAAAGAAGCAGAACTGAAAACTGAAGAGTAATAAGGAACAACCTGGTGATGTCAGTGGGACTATGGTGGGGTCTTGCCCTGTGTTGGACACATCTGGTTCCATGACCCTGTAGCAGCAGGGGTCTGTTTCCACCAAAGGCCAGGTGGACCTCCCTGGTCCAGAGACATGACATTGTCTGAGGGTTGTGCAGAACTGACATCCCTCTCACCCATGCATTGTGGGAGAGCTGCCCCTGGGGACAGAAGAGCGGGAGAGCTGACCCTGACCCAAGCCTGCTGCAGTACTGAGGAGAGTGAGCCCCAAAGATTGCAGGTGCTGTGAGTGAGCCACTTCTGAGAATATGAGCCTGGCAGAGCTACCTACCACTAAGCCTTTTGTGCAATGATGTGGATGAAGGAGAGATGTCCTCTTCCTTCCTTGATCCTCACCACCGGAAGCAGGCAGAAGAGCTGGCCCTGGAGCTGTTTCTGCCCCTCACCTGTTGCAGTACTCGGAAGAGCTGGCCCTGTACCTAACCTGGGCTGCACAGTAGAGCTGGCGCTGGAAGTGGGAGTTGCAGCTGGTCCCAAGAGTGAGAGCTGTTTCTGCTTCTTGTCTGCTAGAAGGTGGTAAGGATGAGGGATAAAGGCCTTATTCCTCTTCCTTGTCCCTCTCTATCTATGGCAGGTGGGAGAATTAGCCCATGAATCATGAATGTGGGAGAACTGGCCATGCCCTTCCCTGGCTGCTATGCTCTGGAGAGAGGGCCCTGCACCTCACCTGGGCAGCAGGATAGAGCTGGCCCTGGTTGTGGGGATTGCTGACAAGCCAGCCCCAAGGAGTGAGAACAGAGAACCAGCTCAGATACCTTTCAGGCCCAGATACAAGGATTTGAATGGGCCCACCCCAACTTCCACCCCATCAACAAACTGCTGGAGTTCATGAAAAGGTCAGTTCTACAGATCCAAAACTACCGGATTTCCATGACACAGGGCAACAACAGGATATCTGAGAAGAGTCCCAGTGAGGTTCCAGTGTTGATAGAGCAACAGAAGCCAGAGTCCTTATACCAGACTGAAAAGACATTGCAATGAACAACTGCAAGCAGAGTGTGGACAAAAGGATATCCTGTGGGACACACTGACACACTACAGCTCCCACAATGAGAATTTTTCTCTATTGTGGGGGAGGTTGCAAAAGTAGATTGTGAGTATGAGAGGAGAAGAGCTGAGGGAAATTGTGGTACATGATGTGAAATTTAAAAAGACCCAATAAGTTTTAAGAGATGAAGTTGTATCTCTTCCTGCTTAACTCTTCAAGATTTGAACTTCAATTAAGAGCTCAAGATGCTATAAATAGATGCTATCGGTTTTTCTTGAGTCTTAGCATGAAATGGGCATCAGTGAGACTCCAACAAAGATCCCGGACTTTGAACCTGATATCAAGGAAAGTATGTATGGCTTTCAATCACTATAGGATGAGATAGGATATATTTTGTAGACATGAAAATAATGATAACAAATAGAAAAAAAAATGGCAAGATTTTTCATTGGATCTTACTTTTTTCTCTTTGTGGGATTACAGTACCTCCTTATCTTTCAAACTTTGTCCGGTTGACTTGACTTAACCAATAAAATATTGGCAGTCATGAAAAAAATACATTCTGGAACCTGTAGTATTTCATCACTGGCTCTTTTTGCTCCTACTGGCACAAAAAGAACATGGTTCTTCATTACTAGCTTGTTCCAGAAGAAAGAAAGGCACAGAGAACAGACTGGAATCTCACATAAGAGCTGGCTGCAACAGTTAAGATGAGTGGATCCAGAAAAATTCTACTGCTAGAATTGTTAGGAATAAATAAATTCCTGATATTGCATGTCAGAGTTTGGGAAAAATTGTTACATAGGAGTTTTGTGACTACAGGCAATTGAAATAGCAGCCAGTATAATCTCATATTATTACACTATTTGATAAATTTTTGACATATGAATGAGCATGAGAAATTATACCATAGTTTGTATAGTTACTATATAGGCTACTGAATTTTAAAAACCCTGTAGAAAATAAAGTTATGAGAGGAGCAGGAAACCAGACCATATTCATTTTTTTGTAATATTTCAGAGCATTTGAAAAGAAAATACATTCATAATACACACTATGCTTATTTTAAGCAAAACAAAGGGAAATAAACAACATTTTAACCTTTGGCATAAGGAGAAAATAAAATAAATCAAGATTAACAATATACATGAAGAAATAAATTATATCAAGCTTTCTTTTTGCAAAGACATTTTGGTACATTCATATGGCCTAATTAATATTGCCAAAAATGTTGATGTATTTCTTAAGAAATTATCATTTTGTCAATTAAGACAATTTCATAAATACCAGACAGATTGGCATCTTCGTCTGGAGCACAGTATCACAGCTCTCTTCTTCAGCTGGACCAGGTACAGATCATTAAAATGGAAATTAATTCTTTCTGATGTTTTAAGTTCATTGCTATTTGAGGTGTGAGATAGTATTTAGCTCACTTTTATTATGAAGTTGTAGAAGTATTTTTGTATCACCAGATGTAAGTCCTTTTATATGGAAGACCTGTCTACAAAGCCCAAGTTTTAAAATTTAAACTCATTCAATAGTGGGGCACCAAGAGACTTAGAGCTCCATTATATAGAATATCAAGGTTTTTACTTTTAATAATTTGCAATGAGATAAAATGTCATTTCATAAATCCTTGATAATATACCTAGTTATAAGAGTGGTTTATTGTGGAATTCAGCATTTATTGGAAAATTAAGCTTAATATACAAGATACAGAATACAATGTTTCACTTCGGTTCTATTTCACTGTTCTATATCACATAGGGTAGTGGGAAAAGAGAATTATGAATAATAAGCAGTGCAGGGCTGGTTTCTGAGGGACCATCCTTACCCATTGCCCATTTTGAATTATGAGGTTTGTTCATTCACACTTTGGATCTAAGCTACAGTATAAACTTGTATCTCTACTTGCAATCTGACTTGTGATGTATATTCTCTTTTTCAGATATTACCTTTGTATGATCTCTTTGATCAGAAACTACTTTTCTTTGTTTTCTTTATGTGTTTATGCAATTTTCCCCTTCTCTCTCCTTTCCTCCTCATTTTCTTTTCCATCCTTTCTTTTTTTTCTTTCTTCCTTCTTTCCTGTTATTTTAATCCAAAGTTTTATGCATTCTAAACAGACATTCTACCACTGAGCCATATTCATCTCCTAATTGTTTTTATATGTAGAATAATCCAAGCTAAAATGGACGTTAGAGTATATAATCCATGCTAACAGTTTGGATCAAGACATTCACTCTTCCATCCTTAATGATTTCAGCAGTTGACAGCTAAGTGTTCTTACTCTTGGATGGTGGAATCTGCCTCTCTGAAGTCTTTGTTTCTTTTCTGTGGTTGACTAAATCCAAAGTTTGATCAGTAGATGGTAACAAAGATTATACAACTGTTTCCAAACTTTAATTCCTAGATGGATCCACAGCTCATAGAAATTGAAGTGTTTGTTGCAAGTATGTTTTAGTTTGGGTTCTTCCACCCCCCACTACTGCTTCTGAAGTGGAAGTTTCTGGTTTCTCTGAAGACTCAGTTGAGTCATATGATATTTTCCTTGAGGTTGGCTTGTGAGAGGGTATGTGATGTTTTCCTGTGAGCTGTCTCGTGTGAGAGGCATGATTTTGGCCAGCTGAAAATGTTGTAGGTAAACTCTGAGGAGAGGAGATATATAGAATTCCACAGACAGTGAGACATTGCTTTTGGATAGACATCACATAGAACCTTCAAGAGGGCTGCACCCAACAATTACACCATAAAAGCAACAGTTGCTGCTCACTAAATTCAGAGCAAGAAACTCAGCAGCAGGGCAGCCATCACCAGGACCTCTCCTGATGAGAGGAGAGCCTTCCTGAACACGACAGCTACCATACAAGTCTATACGCCTGAAGTGAACTGTGACAATTCCTGAACCACCATTCAGTTGACCATAACCAAAAAGCAGAGGAGAATTCAGAATCCTGCCAAGTGGATTCTCCCCACCCTAGGACCCAGCAGGCACCAGAAATTAACAGAAAACACCTGAGACAGAAAGATGGGTAGAGGCTAGTGAAAAAGTACAACCAACAGGCAAAGCAATATGGCATCACCAGAACCCAGTTATCCAGGGGCAAATAGCCCTGGACACCCTAACATAAGTGAAATTCAAGAAGATGACCTTACATCTGTGCTTATGAAGAGGTTAATGGAGGAAGCAAATAAAATGCATAAAGAATTAAGCGAAGATATAATAAAACAGATTATGGCCACCCATAAAGAAATACAGGAATATGCAGCCAAACAGTTTGTAGCTTTCAGAGAGGAAATAATTAAATTACTGAAAGAAATAAAAGAAACTGAGGAATGTTCAAACAAACAACTGAAGGAATTGAAGGAAATACAGGAAAATACAATCAGACAGGTGAAGGAAATCAACAAAATGGTTCAAGATCTAAAGATAGAATTGGAAAAATTAAAGAAAACACAAATGGAGGAAATCATGGAGAGGGAGAAGCTAGGAAAGAAAACAGGAACAACAGAGGTAAGCATAACCAACAGATTACAAGAGATGGAAGAAAGAATCTCAGGTGTGGAAGATACAATGGAAGAAATCGATGTATCCGTCAAAGAAAATGTTAAATCTAAAAAATTCCTGACACA